ACACATGATACGGTAAGAATTAAGTTTTACCAAAAAAAACAATCAAGACTGTAAGTGCACAACCAATCAATCGTAGTATTTAAAGATCGAATCCACATAGATTTAGAACACACAGAAACGATATGAATCAAGGAATTGTGCTAAGTTAAACAGGATTTCGTGGCTTCAAGTAATTGAGCAAATAATTAAATCGGTGCAAATAATAAGAGAAAAACGTTGGACTTTCAAGGGTTCTTAGGGATTCACAGTTCGAATTATTCATGCTAAACTCCTAGGGACAATCGATTCAATTGTACTTCTTCCTATAACATGAACACATAATTAGCTAAGCATACTCTCGCAGCATTAACTCCTAATTCGAGTTCATCCTATCAACATACTCTCACAGCGAAAAAGATTTATTCTAATACAATTGTAGACAAGTTCAATTGTTCATCTACTTCAATAAGTTAAATTTCCACAACCTAGAGAATTAGACTCATCAAACACCATATTCATGACAAAGCAATGAAACAGTTTTTAGCACACAATACTTCGTATAAGATCAGTTTCAAGGTAATCCATCCTAGAAACATGCAATAAGAACATATCTAGATGAAGGAATGAATACTCTTAATCTATCAAAAGCGCCACCCTAGTTACACAACCTATCTATCGAACCATGAAATCCCCTCAAATTCATCCCCTTAGAACCCAACAAAGGAACTACTCAGACATGATAAAGTAAACCATAGCAAACGCAAAAGATAAACTCATAATCATTAAGAACATTAGTAAATGGTTCGAGAAAGCTTCTCTATGGGTTACAAAAAAGGTGAGATCCTTCTCCCTTACTCAAAACAAGCAATAGAAAAATGAATGTCTTTCGAACTTTGTGAAGAATTTTAGGCTTTGAAGGTAGGTGATGATGTCATGAAGAAGTGTCATGGCTGATCTCTCTTTTTATAGAGAATAAGTCGTATTTAGGGTAAAACCCTTGAAGATTAAGAGATAACTTCGAAAAAATAAAAGTTCTCAATTTCCTCGGATGACCGTGTAAAATTGTCTCTGCGTCAAGACCAGGGGCTCTGCATCCGGTCGATCACTCCTTGCGTCCGGTCGATCACGGGTGAATATCCTTAAACCGCCTTTAACTTGCTCTTTACTCGAACAAATTTCAGTAGATCGATGATATCTCAAGATCTAACTGTCAAATTGTGGCGATCAAATATTTATTTTGAAGTTGAGATCCTCCTCTATCTTATGATAACATATGAGCTTTATCTGATAGTAAGAACATCTTCATCTGGAGCAAAAAATCTGACGGTCATTATATGTTCTTACTTGAAAATGCTTGATTTTCCTCCTTTTATGCCTAAAATGCTCTAATTTCCTGTATAGACTTCAAAACCCACGAAAATACTATAAGTAGCATATTAAGTCCAAAACTCGTTTAG